ATATATAGGAATTTGATTCCTTTTTCTGCCGATTGTATCTGCGTTTATGATTTCCGTAAACGGTAACTGTGTTTGAACAACAACGCTACTGTTTTAATAACGTAACGAAATACAGATCGCTTCAAGCGGTATTTTTCTGCTGACGACAACAAAAAGCCACATTTATTCTTTTCGAAGTTTATGAGCGGCTGTAGGAGCCGACGTGTATGATTCTTGCTGTAGGATTTGTTTTGGGAGAGTTCAACCGGGGGGTGATTCCTAGGCAGAACGAAGCAGTTTGAAAGCGGCACTCGGTCGCCAAATACCGAAACCGTCGAAATTGATTTGTTCAGTTTCGAATAGCGAGGCTTTTGATTGAATTGAAGTGGAGTCGTTAAATACACTGATTGTCAGTATATGTTAGCATATAGGGTTTGAGTTAATACTCCCGACTCGTTATCAGATTCAGCTGTATGTCCCACGGTATGAAGCAATAACGTACAAGTTTGCATTGGTGAACAAATCACCGTCATCCTGTGTATCCACTATTAAGCCCACCTTTTCTCACATTCGCCATATTCTACTTATAACGGATGTTATGCAATAAAAACTATAATTATTGCAGGAACATTCGCTATAGTTGGAATATATTAATAAAACTTATTGCTTATTATGTAACACCTTGTTGCTACAAGTCGTTGGAAAAATACCCACCACTGTAATAGCTTTGTAGCATTGTGGTGCTTTACTAGTCTTTGGGTTAGTTGCAGCTTTGTCGATGCACTCAGTGAAGAGTCTGCTACTATTTCGCACGTAAACATCTAAAAAGGCCGTTTTCCTAGATGGTAACGTCTGCGTTAGTTAAAGTCGTTATATATAAGGACATTTTATCGTGATTTTTCGAATTTGCTTCGATTCCAATGATAAAATACATTCAATAGACGAGCACACAGAGTAGAGGCTTATTTCCTACTTTCTCCCATATTTTTACGGAAGCTTTTCATCATCTCATCGCACTGCCATGCGAACTCCATGGAGTTCAGTCTGTGTTAAGTACTGCTTCCGAGGGCTGGCCCCTGCGAAACAAAATGTGTCCACGGTTCGCCCTACCTAGACCACCCCATAATAATCACGATACCATTGCACGACTACTGCACGATCAACTTAGCCGCTGTGCACAGTTCGACAACCGAATGAAAATAGCCTCGCGCAGATTCGGTTTCCGCTTGCTGTATAGTTTTCTGAACTTTAACATTATAGCTCAGTATGGTTCTTCCTTAATCATATCCTCGTACATATTTCTGCAGGTGGTTTGATGGGGGTTGATATAATTGCTGCCGGACCCGGTGGAGATCATCACCGCAGTAACAGCAGCAGCGACGAATGTCGCGGCGAGCTTAGCCCAGTGTCGGTGGCGATTTTGGCGTCGATGAATGACGTCCAAGGTAAAGAGAATACATTGCGCGTGTTTTCAGTTAAGGCGGCCAGTTCGAACCCACATTTTCTCAGCCACTTCATGATACGGTACGAGACGGTGTTTGCTATGAAACTAGCACTAGTTTCGTTATTCCTATTGTTGATGATATCGCTGTTGTGTCGTGTATTGGCTGTACCAAAGAGGTAGGCAACCGACTGCACGTATGGTAAGTGATGTGGTCCTCAACGATCAAAATGGTTTGCCAAATCGTTGTCCTCTTCGATGAGTTGAACTCAATTGAAAGAGGAAATGTGAAAAATTAGGTTCGGAACTTATGCCAATGTACGACTTAATCCTGTAAGACACGCTGCTGAACTAACTGAACAGAAAATAAAGCTACTGTCAGACATCTCCTTTTGAAATGAGTATGGCTAGACGAAAGTTTACTAGAAATGCATACAAGCATTTTAAATAATAACTAACTATATAAGGATAACGATGACATATAATAAATAATATATTTGTAGGACACATATACTGGTCTATATTCGCCGGGTTAGGAAATATAATAGATATATGGCATACTAGCGTACTTTAGGAATTATAGCACTTTATCCTATATAGGAGTATGACCCTTGTTTTAGCGGGGTTGGTTTATTACGATTGGCAAAATAGCAGGCATCACATTATATTGGAAGTTTCGAAATGGAATTTATTCGACTGAGATTTTGTTCAAACAACAGATTAAATTCTATACAATATAACGGTCCAGTAGGCAAAATGTTGATTCTCCTGTATCTTATTACACTCAGAGCAAAAGTAAGTTACTGGTTAGTATTATAGCGATACCCATATGAATTATGCTTTAGAAGTTGCCCGCTAGTACGCCTGCAATGTTCAATTGTACAATGATATATATATGTATGTATGGAACTTAAAAAAGAGATCAAATAATCGACCATTTATCAATCAAACGCCGTCCATTGCAATTTCATCGTTACACAAAGAACTAGTTACAGTGGCTCGTACGTAATTCGTTTTCCCTCTCAACAGCCAATTTAGATTCACGTCTAGTATAGTATACTATAGTATAGTTCTCCCGTTCTAGCCACTGTTCAAAATGATATTATTTCTACTGCGTGGTGTAGTAGCAACCGTTGCCAGCGAAGGCAGTGATGGCCACTGTAACCAACACAAGCAGTCATGGCTGCGTCAATCTGTTTGTGCGGTTTTGCTAATCCAGCATGAGTTCGAAGGTCTCTGTGTGAACTCTCCTCATTGCTACTGTGGCCATCGGCACGCTAGCTATTGTCGTTGTTGTTTCTTCTGTTGCTGCTGCCGCCTCTGTGACTCGCGTGGTAAGCGTTGCACGAAACAGCAGATTTAGGTTGGTGGCAGGAACGGATCCAGTGGTATGGGTGACGGCAACGGCGGTCGTTCTATCGAATGCGCGCTCCGTTTTCTTTTATGGGCCGCTTTAGTCTGCGCTGGCCGTATAGAATTATTTAGCCAAGTACAAATGCTTCCTCCAGTATTTAGCTTGCCTATTGTTGTTTCCTGTTATTAGTAATATCTGTAGAGAATTATATATTCATTGTGAATGATAATTACGGTGACGTCGAGAGTGAACGACGCCGCGAATCCCTTACCCTAACCAATGGCAGCTTGAGTGGCGACTGAGAACAGTAAATAGGTTCTAGGGCGCAATCGAAGACGGCTCAGGTTTGAGGTTACGTCGGGGAAACTTAAAGTGTGCTGACGTGATTACGTGCTTATGTATGTTAATTGTTAGTTGTCAATCGCTGTGAAGTTGAGCCACGTTTAAATTCGACTGGCGTCGAATAAGCGTAACGTAGCTACGCGGTCATGCGTATTCGGACGCCAATATTTATAGTCACCAGTTCTGAACGTTTGGCACATTTTTCGACGTTGACTCTGACGATTGTTTTAAGAGTTAGTCAATTCGTGTAAATGAAGATAACTGATAAATTGGAATTTTAGTTTGCCTATTTAAACTATTTTTTTTCACTCGAAGCAGAATACTCGTATAATCATATTCGATAAGGTAAGGATGTGCCTTATCTACAACTTGCTGACGGCAGTTGACGGCAATCGTATAGAAGCATGACAAATCCGTTAACCAGTGAGTATTTTAATTTACACAACCGAGGCTTCTAGCATTAGAAACTATCTAAATTAGCACTTCTAATGAAGTGTTTGATGCTCACTCATGAAGACCGGCTCTTGCGGAACTGGATCACACTAACTGCTGCCGAATCGACAGTTACAAGTCATTTGTTTGCATCGAGAGTTGACTGTCTGCGTGTCATAGGCGAACATAACTCATTAATCGTGAAAACCTTTAGCACTCCAGTGACTTTAGCACAGCAGGGAAAACATGTGTACAGCCATTTGTTATTATGGCAGATGACTAGATGCTTTCCTGATGCTATATTATATAGCCACAGCCTGCAATGGTGTACAGTTTTTGTTACATCTAAAGCTCTATAGTGCCGCTGAACCAGCTATGAAACTATTTACACTGACTACGCATAGCAAATTTCTGATTCGAATCAGGAGCAGTCGACACACTTCACGACTTTCTAAGGCAGGGTGACATAAAAACATTTCTGAAAAATCTACACTGAATTAATTTTATATGCATGAACAGTCATAAAGACGAACGATCAGCTATCGTACTCTGTGATTTAGAGACATACATAGTCAGGAATGAATTGAAGTCGTCAGTCTGAAGACGTCAATATAAGTGTACATCATGACATACATTTAATGGAAACAAACTGGTAAGAAAGCAGTCCCTGACGTTTTCAGTATTCAAACGTTGCGGCCATTTCGACCTTCGACTCTTATGCGCTTTCCGGAAAGAATGTTTCTCTTTGTCACCATACGCCTACCAGCCGTGCTCTAAAAAAGAAGTTCGTATTGCCTGAAGGCGAGCCAAATGCCCACCTCTTTCTTCAGCTTGAAGAAACCTAATATTTTTGAACTCAGGCCGGTCTTATAGACCCAACGAGATGGCCAAGCAATTAATATGGTTAACAAGAATGTTTTCGATGGATTGTGCTTAGTCTATTCAGGATCTTTTTGGGTGCATTCTATAGGCTTATATGTGTAGCTTGCATTCTACGAATGGATGTTTCCGGTATCGTCGTTAAGCTGCGTTTCAGGTGGCTGGCTATCAGCATGAAAACAACTGCGTGCATATTTATGTCCGGCTTCGAAGCTAGACGACCTCACGTGTCCCATCACGGTGACGGGGGTAGTTAGCATTTGATGAATTATTAAATAATTATTATCGCTGGCATCAGACATTAGCTTATAATATCTGGACATGGCGGAAAGATCTAAGTGTGGAAACTCAGTCTATGTCAGTTAGTCAATTTTATGGAGGGTTTCAGCTCTCGGGAGATGCTGAGAGTCCCCGAGAATCGGAACTCATGAGAGATTCTCAATGTCAGCAATTGAGTGATCTCTCCCTCTCAAAGAGGTTATCCGATATGTATGTAAAAGATAGTGCGTGCGATATGTGTCACATCTATATTGATCTGCGTACTTAAAAACGTGAATCATGGGCAAAGTTGTCAGAACATTAAAAGCGGCAATCTCACTTTCGAAATAATCCTTCGTTTTCTAGACTTTACCATAACATGTAATTCATATATGTATCCACCGATATCAACCGTTTGGCGAAACTTGCCACAAGTGTCTGCTCAGTTTATTGTGACCTATGAATTAGCTGCCAAAAACACAAAGATCGTTGCCAGCTATTTAACCGCCTCCAATTTTGTCCTTGTGTTATAACCGCGTTGAGTAACTTAATTATGCTTGTATAGTTACTATTGAAGCATAATGAGAATAACTTATCCGTCGCTCCGTTTCGTCAACCCTAAAAAGAAAATCGTTTTATTGCCCACTGTATTACACCTTAAGTAGCATTTCCTATGAAGCTGGGTCAAAGCCACGAACGACGCTCAGTTGTTTATTATCACCTGTTGTTGTGACGATGGTGGTGTTACTGTAAAGTTCTGTCGAGTTTTTACACTGTTTTGCTAAATCTGCATTTATTGGGCCTAACTACGTGAATAGGATAGGGAGTAGTGGCGCTGCGAAATTTCAGCTCCAGCAAAAAACTTCCATAGTATGTCAGTACGATCTATAAGAGGCTAACACAGAAGCAGCCAGACTAATATGGGTGTAAACCAGTTTACGCTACTCAAGTTGTTACGGCGTCTTGTTAACCACTGTATGTTTGCCAGAGACGGAGTATTAGACCGAATAAGGGTATGTGCGTTCAAAACGTTTAGGCTGAGACGACTCAAAGCAACCAAGTAGAAGATCTTGATCGAAAGATCTGTTACAATTGTGGCAAGTGAAGGCGTTTACTTTGGGACGAAGTAGGCCCAGGAATATACCTCTGTTGCGAATGTAACGGGCTGCTTATGGCTGTCGTTATGGCTCACATATGCATTAGTGTTATTGAGTTCAAAGTACGAAATATCAGAGGGATGAGCATACGGTACAGGATGAGACGGTCATGCGCTGAAACGGTCAAATCTAAATAGATTATTTCGACTTGTTGTTATTCTAGTATCCCGTAGATGTACCCAACTAACGACGAAATCCGTTTATTAATACCATCAAGCCAAATAATTCAGCGATTATTTTGACCGAGACATATCGTTCGGAGAAGTTCTATCGAACGTTGGATTTTGCTTTCTGCGATCCAGGCCGTAGAAGCGAAGTTAACTGGCATTTTTATACAATATCTTATGATGAAAGACGCTCCAGACATGCACTGATAGTAATAAGACGAGATACTGGCCGAAGCTACTCTGCACGTAACTTTGTTTCCATTCCTTTTTAGTGGGCTGCGCAAGCTAACCCATGTTTCACACATGGCGATGGTATGTTTTAGTTGTTTTTTTACTTTTAATTGTTGACATCTGTTTGCCCGAGTACACGACTTGGATACTTATCTGTCCTAGACTCCATTTCTGAGAAACTCAACTTTTGCTCTTATTCTCTATCTTAGCGTTCGAATAATTACACAATAAATGGACAATGGATGCATATCCTATACTTTTCTGTAATCACAGTAACTTGTTCCTTTGTGAGCTTTTTTGAGGTATAATCACAGCTTCTGTTATCCTTAACGACCCAACTTTCTTTTTCAAATCACCGCACCAGTAACAATCTGTCATGTTACGAATTGCCCAATGTTTTCGCTAATCGCTGGTAATTCTACAAATTGTCACTATTCTCTTCGGCTACTCTCTGAACATCAATTTGCAGTGGTAATTAAGCTATAATTTCTATCAGGCTCATCAGGTTCAATTACCATAAATAACTAAAAATCTTACGTAAATATTTACCTAATTTAGCCTGCTAATGGTTCAATAGCGTTTTAAGATGTCTGACTAATATATGTCAGTGTGAATATAACGATGGTGAGTTGATCGATCATTTCTCTCACGTGGCCTGAAATTAACTGGCAAGATAATTTAAATAGTACGAGGGCCGGACAGATCAAGGCAGGTTGCAAATTCGTGAGAACACACCAGTGGGAACGATAAACCATGTAGTGCAGGCTTTTCCATGTAAGCATGCCTGACGAATAAATAAGTTTGCAGCAATCCTAAAAATTGCCACAGCGTATTTCTCGGCGAGGAGCAGAGAACGTCGCGGTTGTGAAGCCTTATCTTCTTTTTGATTTTACGCAGCAATACAGTTGACGATTAGGGAAGTTAAGCTTAGGATGAACTTATTACTTCAATACCTGCTAAATACTGAATATTGTTTAAATAGATGGTGCCATGAAGTAAAAGTAAATTATGATCATTGACTATCTTCGTTCAGTGAGTATCGCTCAGAGGCTGACGTCCCAGGCCTCAGAGAATCCTTGCTTCCAGTCTTACAGGGCACATTCTATGCGGCCTGATGTTTACAGATTCGTCAATACAGAGTACTAAATAATTCAGCCGTCAAAAATATCCTACCCAACTAATGACAGTTTAATCAATACCTACTGCATTATTTCACCTTACCGCCGTTCCACAATTCATTCTCAAAAATCTTTTCTTTTTGGATGCCACGCTTGACGTTTCAATCAAACGTCAAGCGTGGCATTTAGTATTTCGTTTGATGAAAGCAGCTCGCTTTTATTTTAAAGCTACCTGATCGTTTGTCTGGTACACGTCCCGTCTGCAACACGAATCTGGCAGGGATCTTTGCAATTCTGGTAGGATATTTCTAAATAGCATATCCTATGGAAAGACAGAAAGGCTTATGAGAAACAGCCCAAATGTCATTTAATATCCGAGAGTGGTCCAGTCAAGCGATTTCGACGAGCTCATTTTTATTAGCGTGTTCTGTGGTAGCCCGCAGATACCGAATTATATTCAAACACTATCGCCTGAGTGGGCTGCTATGCTCTGTTTTTCAGGTGGGTATACCGAACGAAAGATATCTGTAAAATAATGAGATGTGGTTGTTTGAAGAAAGTGTTCAGAAATACTACAGAAAGGCTTGTCCTGTGGCTGATTCTTTAGCTATCTGTTGTACGATGCCTGTTACCTTTGCCAATCCGAAAACAGGAATTAGATTGAAGTTTAAAAATAATGAAATTAGACTGCAGAAAGCAAACTCGACAATGAATTAGGTAACGTGCCAATGTATGAGAATTCAAACTGTTTATTATCCATCTTGATACGCACGTTTGTTGAAGATAATATTTCAGGATCAGGTATTCGTTCAACGTTGTCCGAATTTAAAATAGATCGTTTATCCCGGGTTACTGTTACTTAAAACATTTTTGTCGTGTAGTTATTTTACAAGCCTAAATAATTACACGCATGCATATTCTATGTCGATTCAATATCGCTTAGACGTTCACACAGTTTATTGTTATTTTACTTAGAATGTCGTATTAATAACAACGTACATTTTTCAGCTGATGGCGACGAAGTTGGGCGGAGTTGTTGAGCGGCGAAATCGTTGAGGCGCCCGGTCCCTCTCTAGTCCGTTTGGGGGGACCTCAAGCCAGTTGGTGTGGGGTCGTCCCTAGGGACCAAGGCCGATGAAGGGTGGCCAAGACAGAGAGGAGGGTGCCGCGGGACCCGTGGCAAGCGGAGGCAGTCTTGATGGGGCTGGTAGCCAAGCAAAGATTAAGCCTGCCTCCAAGAAAAGAAAGAGCGAGGCCACTAAAGCTTCCTCGGCTGGTCCAGGAAGTCTCAAGAAGGCCAAGGAGTCAGCCAAAGATGCAGGCCAAACGAGTAACAGTAGGCTCGCTGGTGGAACCAAAAAAGCAGCGAAGGATAAGGAGGCCAGCGGTAAGGACAGAGATGGCGCTACTCCTAAGGCCAAAGAATCCAACAAGAAGAAGAAAGACACCTCAGCGACGCAACAGGGTCAACAGCAGGCACCGCAGACCAAGGTAGACTTCAAAGCATCTTCTCAGTGGCTTCTCTTTACCCTGATACATAGGATTCAAACGGTGAAGATGTGTACGGGATTACTGGCAGAGATTATTCTTTCAGCTTTAGCAACAAAATGTGACATTGCGTTGCAGCGATGATTATTTTTGATTTTAAGGTGTTGAAGCGCTTTAGCCGCGAGCCTTTTTTACTTTGCGTTTCGTTTTCAGTCAAAGGACAAGAAAAAAGTGGTGGGTGCTGGACCTGCAGGGGCGGCAAGCGCTAGCGACAAGAAAGTCAAAAAGACTTCAGAGTCCGTCAAAAAGAAGAAAACTGTAGCTAATGGTATGGCAATGAAAGAAGATAATAAACGACAACGCAAGGATAAGGACGAGTCGATCCCGAAAGAGGGGAACTCGGTGGGCAGTGCAGTCGCCTCAAACGGTTGGGGGTTTGGAACCGAGGTGCTTACGTGTTTGCCCAGGTAAGCCATACATTTCTTTCAGCAATTTCATTATTTCGGTCTGTTATAAAAAATATCTTGCGCCAGGGCAAATGATGTAGCTTGCACCAGCACGGCACTTGTGTTTAGCTTGCGGCATCACATATTTATACCTATCATTAATAAGCAGTATACAAATTTTATACCATCTTATTACTGCTCTAACGACTATCCAGTATTAACAATATCATATCAATTTCCCATCCTGTTATTAGGAGAGTGGCCAGCCTCAATGCGATGGCTAAAGTGCACATCATGTACGAAAACGAGACCAATCGTTCTACTTCACAGCATAGCTCGAACAACAATGCCAGCAGTAGCAGCAGCAGCAGCAGCAGCAGCAATCAGAATAACAGTAACAACAACAACAACAACGCTAATAATAATAATAATCATAACAATAATAATAACAACAGCGGCGGCAACAACAGTTCTACAGCTAACAGCAGCAGCAGCAGCAACAACAACAACAGTAGCAGTAACAACACTAACAATAACAACTTGGGTAGTAACTGTAGCAGCAATCTGAACACAGCGAGCTCGGCGACTGCGACTCACAGCTCTAACAGCAGCAGTGGAAACATTACAATTAACAATAGTAGTACTCAGAATATCGGCGGTAGCGGGGGCAGCAGCGGTCACACAATGGCTATCAACAGTAGCTCCAGCGGTGAGGTTGTCGCACCTCCACCATCGACAGGTGCGTTGTATGAGGGCCCCTGATTAGAGCCGACAAATCTGTATATATATATGAGTAGGTTTTATGAAATTTAGGTTGTAAGAACATGTATGAAGCGTTCGTAAACCGCATTACGTAGCATAATAGCCACATAATGAACCAGTGGGATAGCTTGATTTTCCTCTACACATGTCATAATGTTATCCAATAGTGTTGCGTATTTGAGGACGTCACTTTGTGCCGATTGTAGGTTATTGTGCTACTTGGATGCAGTGGTAATAATAGAATAAATAACTCTGCCAGCCACAAACTGCTGAGATCGACCATTATCATTCTTATTATAGAGTTCCAACAAATTATTAGCCATAAACAAATAACACTCATAAGCTCCGATCTGTTCTCTTAGTTTTCACGTTAAGCTAATCAACTATTTCTCTACTCAACGCAAATACCCAGGTTCGTCTCAGCCTACCACCGAGGTAGACACGGACTCCGACGTCACAATTGAGACGGTATCAACAAATAACGGGCATTCTAGCCCACGGGTAGACAAGATAATGATGGCAGTTGCAGTGCCTGGTCGTTGTCGGCGGATGGCATCGCTCAATGCGCAAGCCATCCTTGCAGCGAGTCTTTGTCACGACGAAAAGCGCCCACCGAAAAAGAAGGAACCGCCCCCAGCGCCTTTAACGCCGACAACTTTCGCGCCAGAGGCGCCCGCTGCGGCGACTCCAGCCGTATCGCCGCGAATGACCCCAGCTCCCGGCGCCGCAATGGGAACCCCTGGCACGGGGGGTGTCGTTAGTGGGCCAGCCGGTAGCGTGATTAAAATTGAGGACATCGAAGATGAAGAGAAGACGACCACGGTTGAAGAGGAGGAGATCGTTCAGATTGTGCAAACGACAAAGATAAGAAGACGCAAGATGAAGACGTCGAAAAGTCCGAGCGGAGGCCAGCCCAGCCCCCCGGCAACACCTCGTGCAGCAATCAAGACGAAGCCGTTGAAGAAGAGCGAGGTATTGGATGGTGATACCGATGATCTGCTTGAGTTGGCTGCGATGACCGGAGTCGTTGGCAAAGAGGAACGCGAACAGGATATCAAAGTCGCCCAAGATTCTTCGGCAACAGTCACCCAGGCACAGCAGGTTACAAGGACGTACACGTACGTAACTGCTCATAACAGTAGTGATGTTTTAGCTAAATAAAGCTTTTTAACGATTTTGTCATGCATTCATTGAACTATAATTGTACGCATATATAGCGAGGCACGTAAAGGATTTGACATCCTAGTTTTATATAGTTTATAAATTAGTCTGATGTAAAGACGCCGCTGTAGTCATACGTTATGCCAAGCCTTAATGATATCGAAAACAAGTCAACGAAAATGCCAGAGAGACGTTTCGGTACGATGCGTTTAGTTATTGAGATGAATCTATATGAAGCACGTATATGAAGGGCTACTATGTATGTCGATCCGACGGTCATTGTAAGCGAATCTTCACTTCTCTGCCGTCGTAGGTACACGGCTACAAGCACGGCATCTGGAGGTCTCACCGGTGTTCCAAGCGGAGTTACTCCCACTGCCTTGCCAGCCATCGTTCGACCGCCGTTGGTCATTAGTCAGGCCCAATCTCAACCCACAACGATTCCGTTACAGAATCAAGCGGCCTCATTTAGCTATGCGGCAACTGTAAATGCGCAAAACAGCAATCCTCAAGGTAAGCGAAATGGCCAAATTAAACAAAACGCAAAAGAATGAACTCGTTCACAAATTCATAAACACTGGTACGTCTCGCGATGCTGACATGGCATGCATCGATACAAGCGTCAGCTTTATGAAAAATATCGTAGAAAATGTATCGTATATATGTAATGAGGCTCATTAGCATCGATGCACTTTATCGATGTCAATTAAGTCTTTTTCTTTTGCGCATTTTTCCACCAGGAGGCCAAGCAGCTCAGATGCAGGGCGGCACCATGTACATGACTAACATGAACATGGCCAATGTTGCCGCTAGCATGGGCAATATGGCTACAGTTGCGGCTAATGTGACCAACATTACAAATCCTGGCAGCTATGCGACCATCGTCACAGCTCCACACTTCACAGTGCAACAACCCGTACAAGCATCGAGCACCCCGTTTGGCATACCAACAGCGTATTATCAGGTACGTACACACGGCCAGCAAGAAATTCTTGGCCTGATTCGTTTCTTGTAAAACAAGCTTAGTAGTTTAGGAAGTAAATGTATGCTGAAACAAAGTCGAGTACGTCGTCCTTGCTCGAAGAACTGGAAAATGTGTATTTTAAATCGTGGAGTGAATGACAATTACTACTTAAGGATTCTCAAAAATCGTTGTTGCGTCTCTACGATTCTGGCCAACGGCCAGCGACACGTGTGTCCGTAATGATTACTGTGTGGGCGGCCTTCCAGTCTGAATCGCGCAATCCTGCCGCCTTGAGCAGCTAGACTCTCTCGTCTTTCTTTTAAAAAAGAAAGACGAGTACAGGCAGCTACAATATGAATTCCGAGTTTGTAACTCGTAGGTGTCCCTCTACGCTGCAAAGGAACATTTTTCTAAACAAGTCCTACTTAATAATACACCGTGCTTCTATAAATCGCATGTTTTGCAAATATCGACACCGCGATCATCATAGAGCGTCATTGCAAACCCGCATAGGCATTATCATCGGTCCTATTGCCACTGCTGGCATTGTTACAGTTCGCCAGCATCCTATAATATCCCAGTGTTCTTAAGTAGAAATAGGCATTCCAGCTGTTTCCATCCATTGTTATTCAACCATGTTTCGTTTGGTGGTTTCATGGTGGCTCCACTCTCTGCGGTGCGACTGCATCAGTCGCTTCGCCGCTTGCGCGCTACTCGTGTACGCTTACTAACGACAGCACATGTTGAAGTTTTGACTGGCGACAGGGTTCTCTCAGTGTCGATTCTGTTGTGAACGTCAACTAGAGAGATCTGACCGCCGCCATCGCCTCACATTGAGAGCGTCGCTGGCCGGGTGGCTGGTGGAGTCGACAAAGCCAGCGTTTTCGGCAGCGTTGACTGCGATCGTGTTCCGGTGACCGAACGGCCAACAACGGCTTTTCGACGCTATGGCCAGTTGGTATTGCGGCTGGGGCCGTTTTACTGCTACTACTGTTGCTATCGCTAATTAGGTTGGACCTGTTGCTTACTGGATCGGCTGAATAGATGATGGCTTTACCATCGATTCGTCAGACGTTCGTTGCCATGAACCGCGAATGCTGTCACGACCAACGGATACAGGCACACATGGGCGAGCGAAACAGGCCGGGAAGGAGAGGAGGAGCCAGAAAGAAAAAGGCTGCGACCTACGAGGTGGAGAGTGATGGAATGGTACGATCATCGGCTAGAGACGCGCCGGTGTGGCGGGAGGGTGCAACGAGAGACCAAGAAAGCATTACGCGTTCCTGTTATTGCACATAAACGGCTGTCTGTGGCGAGAGGCCATTACGCAGCTTTTAAAACTTCTTAGTTGGAGAAGCAAACCAACTTGAACGAAATGGATATCAACGACGGAGTCTAGCGGAGAGGACGTCGATAGTCGTGTGAATATCAGTATTGAGACTGAGATAGCTGAACCAGACGAACATTACAGACCCACAACCGTATGGATGATGTCGTCACGATACAGACGGATGAGGGATACAGACGAATGAACTGAATCAGCGACTATATTCAAATGCTGCGGTTAGGCTGACCTAAGGACACGCTTTAGAAAAGCTATGTCATAATCACACTAATACTAGTAAACTGTGTATATGAGCCAGTTCTATGATGTTGATGATGATATGGTGAATCAATGTAAGGCGACAGTACGATACCAGACTCGACACCGGCCGATCTCATTCGAACGTCACCATTCTATAACAAACGGCACGATAGATAACATCACCAACGTCGTCTACTCTCTACAATAACAACTCTTGCTATCGTCACTGTTCTAAGTTACATATCCTTTCTCCGTGTGGCTTCTACTGTTGCGTAGGTCCAGCCGCTGATCCACAAGCCTATTGCGTTCCACCCGAACGGGGCGTACGTGGCAGGTGGTCAGAGCACAGGCGGCGTCGGAACTGTCGGCGGAGCAAACTCGGCGGCTGCAGCTGGCCAGACGAGGACACCTGCTCGCAGCATTGTTGTGCAGGTGCCCTCGACTAGGCAGCAACAACAGCAGCAGCAACAACAGCTAGCTCATAACAATAGCAGTGGCAAACCATCGTCGACAAGTGGCATACAGGTGGTGGTCAATAATACTAATAGCGGTGCGGGCGGGCCGAGCGGAGCCGTTGGCGGGACCGCGGTCAACTGCGGGAACAGTGGCCTCCTGAACACCAGCAGCAACAATAAAAACAATAATAGCAGCAATTGCAATAATAAACCGCAGCAACAGTCACAACAGCAGACACAACAACGGCCGACCAGTATCGCACAGCCAGCGACAGCAGGGCCTGCCGCAGCCGGTGCCGTTTCGGGGGGAATTCCGGTTCAACAACAACAGCAACAACAGCAAAAGCAGCAGCAGCAGCAACAACAGACGGGTAAGTTCTGGTTCACGGGTTCGTTCGTCGAAAGGGAAAGGCAGGTAGATAGAAAGTGGTATATTTCGATCGGACAATGGAAAAAGACATGGCAATAATGTCCATCATAGTGATATCTTAGCGTAGTCTTAAACCTGCCTGGAAAGGATGGCTAGATTTGCTCTTATCTACTTTATCTCTGAATCCGTAATAGATTAACTAGGAAGCAGGGCATTCGATATGGAGGCCGTTTTTAGTTTGTTATTTTGATCGAATCTAGAAAAAATGATAAAAAGAAAAAACATCGACATGAGGAGATCAAAGCGCTGGAATCAGAAGAGTAATTTCAGTCAAATCAAGATGGAACCATTTGACTTAGTGTTGTACTTGGACTTGTTTTTCGTGTCCAGATTAAATTGAATAGTTTTCGAGGTAACAAACTGTTTATTCAGATGGTCCCTGATTGCAAAGCAGTGTCTGGAACGTACGTGCAATAAGCAATGTATTGCTCAGAACCCAGATTTTTTTAAAAGCATTGATGGGATTAAAGGCTTTTAGCAGAACGTCGGCTGTGTTCGGTTTGACGTTAATGCAATGACTCGATTGGTTCGCTGATGGTTGATCGATGCATTTTCGTTATCCTTTTTCCCATAGCTGCCTTCAAATCAAGCAGTGTCGAAAAAAATACAAGTAAACTGTAACCCGCGTGATAGAACTGTGGTAGTTGTGCTTAATTAATTAGGATGGCCTCTAACTGTATTGAATGTCATGGCGCTCTATACGCGGTATATCTCTCGGATAGTTTCGACACCAGATTAGTATCCGTCTAGTTTCATCGTTTGCAAAATCGCGACTAATCACGGATCATCCGGATGCTTGTCTTATATGTTATCACTATATCAGCATGTGATGCTATTCTTCGTATTCAGTGAGCCCTTATGGTCAGTTTTGCATCCACATCATCGTTCTAGCTAGCTAGCGTTTTCCATTTTGGTCAACGTGTCACTTAGCGACTACTGTAATTTGACATGCTCCCCATGAAAACAAGTTGGCATAGACACATTCACACCTAAAATTTGCCACGCTTTTTCGAATGTCATAATTGCCTACTTTTACATTTGTTCTTCCTTGTAGGAGGTGTCACCGTGTTAAGGAACCCGGGCGGGCGCGGTGGCGTCGCGAACGGAGGTTATGGAAGTGGTGATGTGAGTAGTGCGGCCGGAGGCGCCTTAGGGGTTCGTGTGTCGATCGAAACAGCGGCGATCGCTTGTCCGCTTGCGGCAGGGGCTGTGGGCGCAATCGGTGGGGTAAACAGCGGGAAGCGTAAAATGCAGGGTGGTCCTTCGGGAGCGGCTGCTTCGGGGCTCGGTTCTGCAGTAGCAAAGTGTGAGCGAGTCGAGAAGGGAGACAATCAAGGCAGGGAAAAGAAAAGCGGACTTCTCACCGGGGGTATCAAGGTTGACGCCCCCATAAAAACCAACAGTCCTGGCAAGAGAAAGTATCATGGTTGGTCCACGCTGGGTGAACCCTTTCTTAAAAGGTGAGTAGTGATACGGCAATGGCCGATCACAAAAATCTCTCAATGAAATATTATCACTATCAGTAATAATAGCAGTAGAGTTAGTAACGAGCTGATTTAAACTTACCTGTATATGCATCTGGTCCAATTATATTTATACGGTTAGCTTAATCCGTACCACTATGCCGATCTTTGTCGCGAGATTACTGAGATAAATGAGAGTTTATAATACTTTTGCAAAACTAGCAACTGTTCGAACACCTTTCAAATACCTATGTATGTAAATTCTTAGTCAATGAAGAAGTTACATATACACTATTTAGCAATATTATGGTCTGGAATTGGCAGTTTATAGCCGTTTATTTAAATCGTTTATTTGTGCCACTACATTTACGTACCGCATATCGCCTTCGTACCGTAGGGTGTGTACAAGCAACGACCAGATGCACAACGCGCTTGTGCGTGTGTGCTTCCCGTTGATGCGACACTCAGAAGGTGACGAAGTACGGCCACGGGACTGTGTGTTACTGAAAAGCGGACCGCGTGTCATTGACCTGCCATTTGTCGCTAAAGTCGGATCGTTGTGGCAGACAACCGAAGGCGACTTAATGATCAGCTTGCTTTGGTATTACAGGTAGGTACATGAGAATGTTTTATAGAAATCTGCTTAGATCAGTGATATGTAATTTCATGTATTTATATTCTTGCGTGCTCCGTTAAGCACACAGCAATACACAGAAATGCTGGTTGTTTCGATAGTCTATAGGCAAAGAAAACTCGGTACCAAAGATGAACGACCGATAAACACTATCAGCGATAATATCATCATCTTGCTAACACTGGCAAATTTTATCACGTTGCCGAATCCCATTTGTGAGTTCAATTGATTACCTAAATGTATTGAGCTTTACTTGTGGTGCTGCCCTTGAGCTTTGCTTCAGATGGCTGGTTCCTCTCTGCGTGAGACGGTATGCATGTCTTAGAACTTAGACTATTTCACCGCTCTTTAAGTTTTGGTTGAGGAGTGGCTAACTGATGTTGTGTTGACTCTTCAGACCCGAACACACGGAGCAGGGACGTCGCTCCAACCATATGGAAGACGAGATATTTGCGTCTAAGCACTGCGACTTCAACTCCGTCGCCTGTATCGAGGACAAGTGTTACGTGCTCACGTTTGCGGAGTACTGTCGCTACCGAGCGAAGGTTAAGCAGCTGGAAGAGGGTGTACGCTCCAGAGTAGCCGCGATCGTGCCACCCCTGGCGCCGACGCCGCGTCAGGCAAGGCTCCCTGATCCTGGAAGGGTGTCTGCCGATCTGGTTTTCTTCTGTCGAAAAGTCTACGACTACCGGCAGAAGCGAATACTGAAAAATCCCACCGTGCAGATTATCGCTAAGGATCCCAACGGCGTAGGAGGCGAGGGAAACGCATAATAAAGACACCAATGAAATGAAGGTTTAAACAGAGGAATGCTAAAGTGAAAGAATCAGGTTTATCAAATGATACTAACGTGAGGGAACAGCAAGAACTGGTGTTGGGCTAGTAACCTTCGTATAACTTACCACTATTATTATTGTGATTATTATCGGCCGCTTGCTGATGTGTTATTACATGGCGATGTGTCGCTATTCCAAAGGGCTTAAATACAGCATTGATTACTATTGACGGTAGGTCTACGACACGAGGACGACGGTTCGCCGCCTTGGGTTGGTGCTGTGCCTAAACTGCCAGGGCACACGCAAGGCCGATACCGGGACTATGGACGATAGTGGATTATGGATGAATAATAATAGAACTGCTACGACGATTCTATATATATAGAATATCGTTCCGTGAAACACCTACTATTTATGGTAATGTAGAGGTGATATGTCAGGAGGAATACAATTACCTTCGACTTGTAGATAAAAACTAGGGTCTTTAACGGATATGCGGCATATCTCGTTCTGGCCGGCGGGACACTTATCTTTCTCATAATGAAAGACAAACGGGGAAAAAGGTCAAGACTTTAAAAACAGAAGAAAAACGAAAAGAGAGAAGAAGAAATCCAGACTAACTTGATACACTACCTAAACAAATGGAGCACGAGAGACGGCTGCCTTGCGCTTTGCGATCGCTATGCGCGCGTCTGAGCATGCGCGGGAATCGCGGTGCATTTCCTGTATAGAGTAACGTACCCGAAATAGAGAGCAAATTGTAGAAAAACGGTAAGAACGAGAAACAGATCGAGCGAAAGAGAGAAAAGTAACTTAATATTACCTAAGGTATATATAAAAAATAAAGACATTGGGGAATGCAACATAAGTATGTAGCAGAAAGGATCACGCACGCGCTCACACAGACACATACATAAAACAAACAGACATAGCATTATTAGCACATAACTAATAGGTCAGACGTATGTGTAAACCGAATATTTTCGGACGAATTTCTCCATTTGATTCCATCAAGACAACGACAGCTAGCAAGGTCGCTCTCGACAGCCCTGTATTTTTTTCGACGCTTAGTGAAAACGTAACATCAGATGGTTGCCTACCAGATGGCGTTCGCAATGGCCATAACAAATTAGATACGTACATACATATGCGATTGCTTTTAACCGGGTCGCACATCAACGAACGAGTCGTCGTATTTTGTGACGAAATGAAAAAACTTTTTTGGCCTTAACTGGAATGGTTAGCAGGACTGATTGAGCTAATTTTCCGTTACCTTCTAGTTAATAGGTTTGCTTTTTTAATTCGTTTCGGCAGAATCAAACTGCGCATACATGGGTGTATTATGTACTCGATATTGTTCGCCGATTGATCAACGTCAGGGCTTATTGAGTCACTCATTATTGACGCCTTCGTCCATGATTGTTTGTCTATTTGTTGGAGTATTTATGTGGCCGGCTGCTGGCCACATGCATCGAGACTAAATTACCGAGTACACGCAAACGTACATATATCGCACAGTATAGATCATATGTTCTTTGAAAAGGTCTGCATAGAAGACGAGCATGCGGGGCTTGTGAGGACGGGGACGCAATAGTACAGTGGTAGGTAATAAGTTGTCCTTAAGCGAAAGCACCATTATGTAACACTGATGGTGATCTGTTCTAGAAAGCGCGTACGCTCGAGCAGAAGACACGCCTGTACAAGACCTTCCTGCTACTAATCCGATACCAAGAAGCTGGCAGTTACGCTGCTATCTCTTCCGCTAACGGGGGAGAAAGAGGAAGATGTATGTATATTTAGGGCAGATAGAAAACTAAGAAGAGGTAATGTAATTAAAATATTTATCATTATTGTTTAGTATTAGCAGAATTACTATAATGTACGAGTGATGTATTTATTGCTAAGCCACTATCACGGCAACGGTAACGACTGAACTGAACAATCACACGAGGCGTTCACGCGTTTATTAGGCAACCGACTGTAGCAAATGTCTCCGTCTGCATCGCATAACGCACACACATAGTACCCGCATATAAAGGGAGGTATTGAGGTTCTCGGCCGAGGAAGATCTGGGGACATTTCCGTTTCGTGTCATATTCTATGTAGCCCGTGTGAAACTGTGCTCCCTAATCGAATGTAGAGGTTGGGCTCAGGTTTGGGCGGCATCAGCAGACAGCACGAAAGAAACAATGGCAAAATTCCAACGAAGACGTAACGGCCAATAGCCTTTAAAGCAGCTAAACGCAGCGTACGCACTGAAACGCGCAAACCTCAACGATGAAGTACTAACGTGTACGTATAATAATGTGAGCTGTCAATCAATAGTAAATTGATTGCATTTTCAAATCGTCGAACCGCGGTGCTTTTTCAAGGGTTACGATAAACCGAGCGACAAGGCGCGCTCCTCTACATCTGGCGTAGGGTACACAGGAAACATGCAGTGCGGATAGGGTGCACCAGAACTAACAGCAGAGCCCATTGTGATACGTCACCGTAATAAGACTGTTTTCCCTTTGTCAAATTAAGCTTCGATTTGTGACCAACAGGCTGGAGACTGGACAAGAAGTCATTAAGAAAAAACGAGAAACATATAGAATAACCGTAGTAAAGTATACAAAATTACGCCAATAAAAGCCCGTGCAGACATCTTCCACGAAAAAGTACTTGTTTACACAGTAAACAATTAACGAGACATTATTGCCTTGCTCACGAAGGACACCAAGTCTGTTAATATCATTATCGCTGTAACCCTTATAATTATGTCGTGTAATTATTACCCTATGAAAAAATATTAGCAAACAAAAACAGTGGGACAGGGTGGATATGTGCGTGTCTGCGAAAGCACGTAAATGAAAATAGACTCGAGTACCTATGGAATGAATTGTCTGTGCGAGCCTTTCGCTCTACTGTTATTCATCGGCAAATCCGAGAGGGACGTTAGAAAAAGCACGACCTAACACTTGACGACAAAGCAACAAAGACAAATCAAAAGCTAAACAGACGTTTTTAGGATTTATATAGAGGAAGTGGACTGGAAACTGCGTGGACAGAAAGCAATTTCTCTGTCGACTATACAGTGATGATCATTGATGTAACATACTATGGTATATATAACGAAAAGGTATTCAATGACATCAGTATGAAGCTCCTGCGAAGAACTGGTGCGGTAAGTTGGCTATTCGTCGAACAGATGATATCGATGCACAGAGATTTAATATATGGTGTAGGTGAAGAGAGATGGTACGGAGAAAACAATGAATACGTAGCAAAGCACAAAAACGTAGGCCTTGGAAGCAATACGGTAAGCGTTCGGCTGAACGGGCTATTGTTAGCGTACGCGATATAGTACTGGGAGACAAATGGACGCCAAAAACCATAATCATGACAAGCGTGCAGAGGTAAGCGAAAACGAAGAGACATTCCCGGACGATCACGGGCAGATAGATAATAACTGTAACATAGTTTGGTTATGGGCTCGCAACGTGGCCAACGCTACATTGTGACCAAAATCCCTCGAGAAATTGACAACGAGGAAAACGAGAAATGATTGAAAATGTGTATTGCACCTCCACAGTCTGACTGAAGCCTCCGCGTGTGCATCATACATAGAGGGTAAATGTAGACACGTATTGATAGATTAATCTATATATAAAAACCGAGGAAGACAAAAAATCTAGGTTGATAAAAAGAAAAATCCATGTACATAAATGTAATTGTAAATATATTTAATATAAGAAAAAATATAGACTGTAATTTGATCAAAACGCTAGCGAATTGTTTCTAGGTACATATGGAAAAAAAATATCGAAGCACCAATGTTATGCGTACTGCACCCTAGTTTCAGCCTTAGTAAGTGAATCCGTCGTTCAGATATAGTGTATATAGTCTCTGTTATTCGAACGTGCTCTTTTCTGTCACATGTAAAATTCGCGGAACTCACTCGGTGAGGCGTTCACCTGATGCTGTCGCGGATTCAGATGCCGCGTCAGCACCTACCTACATCTTGCTTTATCTGTCAACAGTGCCTTAGAAAGCGTGACTTAAGAAGCACAATAAATATATATATATATATATATATATGTACGCAAATTTTCAGTAGTTACAAAAATGCTTCTCTCTAGCCTTGTCGCTAGCGAACCAGCAGTGAACACTTATCGTCGAGAGAAACCGTGTAAACATCGATGTACGTGAGCGAAGAGGGTATAGAAATTAAAAAAAAAAAAAACGAAAATGGCTAAAGGTGCTGACTTTATTCGCCCAATTTTCTAGTTACCGACTTGAACTTAATTCTTTTTTTATCATGTTTCACGTTGAGCAGCACAAAATCATACACACCGATTGCACGTAGCAGTAGTGAAGCATGAACAGACTCACTTGAAACCTGAATAACGTTCTGACCTGTGAAGGTGATAACAATCACTTTTACAATTACATTTACTACACATAGTAATGTGCGCCTGTGATTGCGAGGTACTGTGTTGTAACGAAGGTCGAGCAGTTAATCATTGGGGAAGATCAATCAATCCGATGCTCATCAAGCCGCGTTCGTAAGGCTTAAGTTGTTGGTTTTTTTTGTGGGATATATAGGAATTAATATATTAGCGGGTTAGTATTTGAATGATATAAATATGAAATCTTTGAACGAATCCAAAAGAAATCACCTATTACTGCAATGAGCTTATTTTTACTACAACAGAACATTAATTCGCACTTTGCGACTACCGTCTACTTGCTGATCTCACCTACCCGTTTGTGCTAGTCGAGTAATAACGCTATCCTTTTTGCGGCCTAGTTTGTGCCTCCCTCTTTCCCTTCAGACTCCGGCGTCCTTTTTTAGCCATTTCCATCACAGTCAGCATCACTCGCTCCGTTTTGACCCGTAGCATTAGTTCACGGCACTGATTTTATCGTACCTGCTTACGTTTAAGTCCATCTTTGCAGTTCTCACTGCTGCACAAGCGACCCACTGCAACAACCCAACCCGCAAAAAGTCACTCTAACTTTAACAAATTTTTTAACTTAATTTAACAAATCTAGCCAGCTACTATCCATTACTTGAATCCCAGTGCTGCTGGTCAGTTCCGCCAGTGAACATGCAGCCATAGTCGCTACTGATGCCAGCAGCATCATCGGTGATCATAGAGAGTCAGGGGATCCGGCAACGCTGCGGCCCCCCTGACCAGTGCACACATTGCAACGGTAACTAGGCGGTGGTAAAATAACAGAAGACGTGTGCAGCATCGGAGCGCAAAAGTCCGGCATCTGTCACTGAAGCATTGCTAAAAGGGGGTAAAAGAAGGAAAGAGGGACAGCTTATCAGTACAACGATATGTTGATCTTATATGAGTCGCAACTGGGAGAATTATACACAACAGGGCTACTGATAATGGTGCTCTAGCATTAAATTGTTGAATCGTATCGTCGAACTTGGTGGTAGCTGTCTGTCAGCCTGCGCCAGTGTTTGCGATCGTCCCAAATGGCGATAGACTGCTCAGAAAATCCGATCCCAAGGCTAAGACGAGTCTTGCCAAAATACTGAACGCCGTCAAATCCAGATAGAATGAATTAACAACGAGACCGGGCACAGCATCACAGCAGTCACGGTAACTGCTGCTGCTGCTGCTACGGCAGGTACAACAATAACAGAATAAATCGGCTGCGATTATGTTACCTGAAGAGGTTTCATCTGTTTCACCCAATTCTTTCCGTTTCAGTTGGAAATCTCAGTACAATCATTATTATCAGCGGGCCGAGTGGCGTTATCGGTGTTATTGCCTTTGTTACCACCATTTTTATACTCTTTCGGGCATGTATACAGCATATTAGATAATGTTAATGCTAGGAAATATCAAATGGTGATTTCATATTTGGTGTGTATATATATATATATATATATATATATATATATATATAGCATGTTCTTGATAAATTCAAACAGAATTCATATCGTTTGCTTTTAAACTGCACCGAGTAGGAAACAGATTGGATAAAATGATTTGCGAATGCCGCCAGGGGCATTCCTTGCGGATTGCCTTATGCGATGTAGCCACGTTCGCCTTGATCGGGGCTTCACTTCGTGTTTACAAGTGATTTTACAAAAGTTCTCTTTATAAATTCAGGAGTAACTTTTCACTAGCAGTCATCGGTAACACGGTATAAATGTTTGCTGTTTAACGACACTTGTCGAAAGAATCCGAATCGATTTTTTTTATATTTTGGATAAATCTAGATGCTAAAAGGCGCTGAAGACGACCCAATTGTCTGTACGCCCACTTTCGACTCTGATCATCAGAAGCGTCTTTTATTCGTAATTAACTTTACTCAATCTGATTTTCCGCTAAGTCTCGTTGGAGATCGCATGGCCGCAGCAGCGCAGCCTGTCACCTTCTAACAGTCAAGGAACAAAAGATTAGACAACTAACGGTCGTCATTTAATATCCTTGTTTTGTTTTAGAGAAAACAGGGGGTCTTGTATTGCAGACGACATCTATGAATGCTCACCCATATTTAGCACGAAAACTCCGCATGTATATTGGCGGAAGTGCGCACTACGGTTGTGCACGGTAATAGACTGAAGGATGTTTAAAACAATAAACGCCGGCTTGCCGAAATAGTATTGGTCATTTTAACCAAGCCAAGATGACTATTTTCATATTTACGCGCCATTTTGATCGATGACGTTCTCCTATTTTCCTGACAACGTTATAATTCCATCATTCTAGAGCTCGGGTTATTTTCTGGGTGCATAATCACGACAAGCGAATCTCGCGCTTCTCCATTGAAGCTGTCGGCTAGTTAAAAAAGAAAGTATGTGCTCCGCCATTGTCACAACGGAAGATGACGCTTTTTTTTTTGTTTACTAGCTCTAGTCGATCCTCTTCAGTCGCTCGTTAGTTGTTGAGAGCAGAGGTCTGAACCACTCGTCTCGCCAGGAGCTAGCAACTCATCACGCACAATTCCTTTTCAGTCCCATCAAACAGATAGCGTCACCTTTGGCATAATGTACCTTCGCCACAAATTATGGAGAAGTGTCTTGATTTTGTTGGATCTCGGCGAAGTTTCGCAAGTGGAAATCTAATCCAGCAAATGTCGTTGCTTCAATTCATGTAGCAGTCAAATATCGCGGGTTTCTTTTCAGCCATTTCCCTCAAATGCTTCGTAACATCGTGGCGGCAGATACTTTGCTAATTATGGATATTCGCACGCCGGGTGTAATGAAGTTACGCAATAGCTTTACCGATTTTTTCGGTAGTTGATCACCCATCTCTCCCACCGATATTTTAGAAGCGAAATCGACCATTTGCTATAATAAAGCGTCTTGATTAAAAGCAGGACATATTTCTATAGGGCTGTGTAGCACGTACGTCTTAATGTAATCAAATTGTAAAATATAGCAGATTTTTTGCACAGGTCTCACTCGTCTTCAAAGCGTCCTGTTTTAAGTCCGCATGAATTTTGGCTTATCTACTACTGGCAAATGATTCGATTCGACGCGGCCTATACTACCTGGCATATGTAACTTACCGCTATCTAGGTAGAAAAATGGTCAGAACCTTTAGGACAATCCGGTATGTTAGTATTATGGAAGAAATCCTCGTATGGGATAATCCGACGGCCATAAATTGACCCACCATTGGAATAGTTTCTGTGCTCCTTATTCCTATCTAACCTAGTCCATGCTTCAAGCAAAACTGTTTTTTGGACGAACGGTCCGCATACACGAATAGGGACGGCTCGGGACGGGAGATAAGGCTGCGAACGTAAGCTAAGGTCCAATAGGATTCTAAAAATAGAAGCTGATTTGTGGTCTCTTTTTTTAATCCCAATAAAAATAACCCAATAAAACCCCAATAAAAACATATACACCTGTGAGTATGTTTGTTGAATGACGAATTGAATAACTTTTGTTTGTACGTGGATCAAAATAGAAATTAACAAAGCTAACAGGCCAACGATAAAGATGATTGCATGATGACGTTCGTGTATGGGAATACCTCTCTCCTTGGGTCAGCGGTGTAAAACGCCCTGTTGTAGACCCGAAATTACAAAACATATCATGTGCCCTTTTTATCTATTTTTCATACTAAAATACAAAACTCGATGAAGTTGATTTTGGCAGACGATGTGTCTCAACTTCGCTCCAAAGTGTTTTCTTTGCAAGATAAGTCATACGTTTCACCGCCTCTACAAAATAAACTCGAAGCATTGAGACCTTTTTTTTTGTTTTTTGCTCTGTATATTCCGGCATCTTTGCTATCTAATCGATGGCAGATGAAAAAAATTCCAAAACAAGAAAGGCGACAAATCGCACCGAGCCCATTGTACCATATAGTTACGCTTCCTCTTTGACACACAGGATGTTTCGAAACTGCAATCTATTGTTCGACGGCTGATAGAGGTTGGTGCGCAAGGCGCTGCTTCTACGGTGAGGTTACGGGCTGATACTTCTACGGGAGATTCAATTTATAACTAAAAAGTGACTCGGCAAATATAACTTCAAAAAACACATAGTTATGTGAAAAATACTGCCTCGATCGTCAAAACTACTTTACGCTTGTAAAAGCGAATTTAATCATTGAAATCAATTAAAGATAGCATGTCAAACAAGGTAGAAGTTTTATTCAACACATTTGTCCTTCAACGTTGAAGTGGAAGTATACGAAACGTCTAATTATGGCAGAATACCTTAGTTTATACACGTACTGCTTTGATTCAAATTTCCCACCTTGCACTACCCAAGCTCCAAAGTGTTTAAACACGATCTAGTTGCGGAAGATGCTAGTGAATCCTGTTTGGTACACGTGATACCTATAAATTAATAGAAATCACACATGTTCTTGAGGATACGGGGCATTTCCTATTGTATCCTAATTATCGAACCTAAAGGGAAGGGTCCGGCTGAGAAAGATGGATCAATTCTGCACGACTATTGCGGTAAATATGAGGAAAAAGTCTTATATACGAGCTTCTTAATTCTTTATCAATCTTTTCCAGAATTCTTTC